TCCCAAAGTCCACCCTCATCATTCCCTGGGGATCTTGCTGCTCCCCTCCCCTGCTGTTCCGCTGCACTCCCCCAGTGCTTTGCCTCAGTGTAGCGTGATCAGATCGGGTGCAATTCCCACACTGTGTCTCTGATGGACACAACCTTACTTGCTGAAAACTAAGGACAACTTGAAGTACTTGCTGATTAAGATCAAGCATTGCAGTCATCCGTATTGATTACAATTCAATGTAAAGATCGTAAAAATCCTTCCAACTGGACCAATAAGTAACATCAATGTAAACAGAGAAAAGATTGAATTTGTCAAGAATGTCGTCTCACTTGAATCCATAATCAATGCTCATGGAAGCAGTTGTCAAGAGATCAAGTGGCACATCCATTGGGTAAATCTGCCCCACCAGACCTCTAAAGAGTTGAAAAGTATGCATGTTACTTTGAGGACTAAGGGTTGCCTGACCCAAGACAGGGTGTTTTCAATTGTCTCATAAGAATTCCAAAGCTTGACAATAAATAAGAAAGACTGAAGAATCATCTGTGCATTTCAACTATGGTGTTAATGAAGAATATGGAAAGTACCACGGACTTCTAAGAGAACAAATAGATCTGACTTGGTAGAGGTACAGCCAGAATGCTCCATAGAGGCAAGGATGGCAAGAGTTCACCTCACATACTTTGGAAGTAGATGCTCAAAGAGACATATTGACATAGTGGCTGCAACAATGGGCTTAAACATAAGAACAATTGTGAGGCTGGCACAAAGCCAGATGGTCTTTCCTTCTGTTGTAAATAGGATCACTATGAGTTGGAAGCAACTGGACAGCACCTAACAACAACATTGACTTCCCTGAGAACTCTCGTGGTGCATTTGTTATGCAAGAGGCTGCCAGTCACAGGGTCAGCTGTTGGAAACCACCAGCCCCTTCTTGAGAGAAAGATAGCGCTTTCTACTCCCACAGTTAGTCTTGGAAACCCACAGGGGCAGTCCTACCCTGTCCTTATGAGTCTGATTGACTCATTGGCAGTGAGTTCTTCATTGTTTAGTAACATCCCAAGTAAATCTCCATAATTGTGTTTTGTCGGTGAGTTCTGTGTGGCCACTGCCACAAACTATCAAACCCAGCATAGAAGTAGAGGAAGAGTTTGTCAGATCGATAAAGAAGGATGGAATTGGAGGCATGTCTGATTTCTGCACCCTGGCAATAGAAAGCCTAGGAGATCAAATATGGTCACTCCCATAGTTTTTACTGCAGAATGAGTTAAGAAAGTTTGTCCCCTAGGTGGCTAGTAATCTGAAGCCTCCATCTATCCCATCTACCTTCCCTCTCTTTGACCTTTGTCTCCTGAGCTCTTTTCTAACTCTTGATCAAATATACTTCACTTCTCTCTGGGCACATCACAACACCCTGTTGCTTAAAGATAGATTTCCCTCTGGGGAGGAACACAGAGATGCTATAGACCAGGTCAAGAATACACTCCTTGATTCTCACTCAATCCACAATGTGTTTGTTTATTCATATATGTGTAGAAGATGGAAAGACACTATTCGCTTATAGTGAGAAAATCGACTAGCATTAATAAATATCTATCAACAGCCTTTCTAAAAGTTTATAATTCTACTTCCAGAAATTTATTCTAAGGAAATATTCAGAGCTAAGTATAGACAATGTAAGTTTCCAAAAAAATCTAAATATCAAGGGGAAGAAAGCAGTCCCCAAGAAAGGGCACAACAATAAAAGATAAATACAAATTACTTTTAAGCACATGGGGGAAAATGATCTTACCACATTCATAATAAGAGAAAAACAAGGGAAAGCACATGGGCAAAGCATTTTCCTACAATCAGATTGACAACTTCTATGTCAGCAAGGGTGTGGGGAAGCAGGCATTTTTGTGTATTGCCAGTGAGAGGGTAAATTGATTCAATCTTTTTGGAGGGCAATTTGGCAATATATACCAAAATTCAAATGTACACACATTTTTATCTGGCAATTACACTGCTAGGAATTTATCTCCATACTATGCTCATAAACATAAAAATGACATACGTACAAGGTTATTCACTGCAGCAAATGACTGGGAAAATTTAAATCTCCCATAATAGGAGACCAGTTAGATAAATCATGAAATGCTCATGCTTTGGAACACTAAATCACTGTAAAAAAGGATGAGTAAAATCTTTTATGACTTTGTGTGGAATGAACTCCAAGATACATTGTTTAAAATGAAAGAACAAAATGCAGAAAATATGTATATAATGTAACTATCAAAAGGGGAAGAACAAAATATTATACATTTGCAGGCCAATTCACAAAATGTCTCTGTAAAGACAAATGTTAAGACGAACCATGTTTTCTGTGGGGCAGGGAGCCAGAAGGCTGAAGGACAAGGGTAAAGAGGAGACTGGCACCACAGATCTTTTCACATCTTTTGAAATTTGAGCCATATGAACATGCTATTTATTTTTTTAAACACCAGAAGATATTGTTTAATGTTCTAAGTCAGGTGGATACATCCGTCAAGCCTTTTGAATTATAGACTTCAGGTTAGTAACATAAAGTATATGCAAAAAGTAAAAAAAAACAAAAAACACATATACATCTATGTGATGATATTTATCTGTGTTGTTGCAAGTTTTTGAAGCACATAATCTGGGAGCAACTATTCAATGGAGGATTGGCTAGATCAGGAGTCACCAAACTTTTGAGATGGAAGAGCCAATCCTGAGCCATAAATATATTTTTACAAACAAATGAAATCACTATTATCTAAAAAATATGTATTAGAATTTTTCAATTTGTCTTCGGAGTCACAAGTACATATATGGCTCTCAAGTCACAGTTTACCAATCCCTAGGCTAGATAAATTGCAATATATGAACATATCCTTATAGAATAATGCACATACTGTACCAAAAAAAGCATTTATAGTTCTAATAACTGAAAAAAAATTATAAAATCAGAAAAAAGAAATAGATATTAACGCTAATAGTAACATACCATTTACTGGTTAGATACTTTAGCCAAACCAAAATTATTGCCCTCAGGTCAGTTCCAACTAACAGTGGCCCTATAGAATAGAGAACGGCTTCCACCATAGGGTTTCCAAGGCTGTACATCTTTACAGAATCAGGCTGCCACATCTTTCCCCCCACAGAACAGCTGGTGGGTTTGAACCACTAAACCTTTCAGATAGCAGCTGAGAACTTCAACCATTGTGAAACATGGGCTCACCTATCTTTTCTAAGCCTCAGCACAATCTTATGTGATGGGTAGAATTTTACTACTTAATAATGAGTAAATACATTCAAAGTGTCTAGAGTCAGTTTGAATCCAGGCATTTTTAACTAAACTCTACACTTTTTCTTTTTGCCATATCACCTTCATATTTAGAATATAAGCCCCCTTATAAGATAATTATAATAAGAGCTAAGTCTTACTTAGCACTTGAGAGTGTTAAGTAAGCACTTATTTCATGCTCACAGACATCTTCAATTCTGTGAGTCGTATTTTGCCCATCAATCCTAGATAGGTTAAGTAGCTGCTTCAGGTACTCAGATCATAAGTGGCTGAGCCAGACAGAAGGCGCATCCATGTAGGTAACCACTAAATTATGTCCTGCCTGCCCAAACAAAATTACTTCTTAGACCCACTACAGATTGTAGAAAGGAGCACAAATGAAAGATCACTCTCTGGTGCCTGTTTTACCAGACATACTTGGCTCCTCCTCCCCCCCAGCAGCATTTCTGAGATCTACCTAGAAGTCACACTCTTCCAGAGGAAGAAGCACTTCCTCTCTCAATTTATCCCATTCTCATCTTTTCTTCCCTGCCATTCTTTTTAAAATAATGTTTCCTGTGTTTGGGGTGAAAGTTCACACAATTTTCTTTTTTTTTAATAAATCATTTTACTGGGGGCTCTTACATCTCTTATAACAATACATACATCAGTTGTATCAAGTACATTTGTACATATGTTGCCATCATCATTTCCAAAATATTTTCTTTCAACATGAACCCTTGGTATCAGCTCCTCTTTTGTTCCCATCCCACCCCCTCTCTACAAATCTCATGACCCCTTAATAATTTATAAATTATTTTATTTTCATATTTTATACCATCTAATGTCTCCCTTCACCCATGTTTCTGTTGTTCACTCCCCTGTGGGGGTAGGGGTAGGCGGAGGTATGTTGATCATTGCAATTGGTTGCCCCCTTCTCTCCCTTCTGCCCCTACCTTCCTCCTACCCTCATGGTATCACTACTCTCATTGGTCTTGGGGGGTTATCTGTCCTGGATTCTGTGTGTTGAGAGCTCTTATCAGTATAGGTCATGACAGTAGGGGGAAGGAAGCATTAAAGAACTAGAGGAATGCTGTGTGTTTCATCAGTGATATACTGTACTCTGTCTGGCTTGTCCCTTCCTTGTGACACTTCTGTGAGGGGATGTCCAATTGTCTACAGATGGGCTTTGGGTCTCCATTCTAACCTCCCACATTTGCATCAAAATGGTTGTTTGTTTGTGTGGGGTCTTCTGATGCCTGATACCTGATCCTGTCGACATATCCTGATCACACAGGTTGGTCACACAACTTTCTTACCGCTCTTACAGAAGCTCACTTGGAAGGTATGTAGCTGTTTACAGAACTGAGAGGGTTGAGGAGGAACAGGCCCTCACAGTACCTGAGCGACTACATGTACCTTTTTCTCCCGGAGGACCAACTCTTCCAGGCCGTCCTGGTGAACCTTTCTCTCCCTTTTCTCCAGCGTCCCCTGTGGAAGAAATGACATACATTTAGAGATTAGTGGCCAGGACTACAGGGTTAAATATGAAATAATAAAAATTAGAAAAAAGGAAAGCACTCTTAAAGGTCAACAAACAGACCATGAACTATTGATAGGCTTTTCTTTTTTTTTTTTTTTGTCATCGGTATTTTGTTGTTGCTTTTGATGTTTTATTTTCTTTTCTTCTGTCTTGTTTGTGTGCTTATTATTGTCTCTGCATGTCTAGATAAGATAGGTGGTATAAACAATCAGGAGGAGAAAATGACAGGATTGACGGTTGCAGTGGGGGGGGGCGGGTGTTCATGGGAGAGGGGGAGGCAGGGGGAAGGCAGTGGGTGTTAACAAACCCAGGGACAAGGGAACAACAAGTGATCTAAAATCGATGGCGAGGAGGGTGTAGGAGGCCTGGCAGGGCTTGATCAAGGGCAATGGAACCGAAAGGAATTAGTGAAACCTGAATGAAGGCTGAACATGATATTGGGACAAGAGGAGAGTAAAGGAAATAGAGGAAAGAATTAGGAGGCAAGGGGCATTTACAGAGGTCTAAATACAGGCATGTACGTATGTAAATATATTTATATATGACAACGGGGAAATAGATCTATGTACATGTATGTATAGGTTTAGTATTAAGGTAGCAGATGGACACTGGACCTCTACTCAAGTCCTCCCTCAAGGCAAGAACTGGCATTCCATGATGCCCACCTTTCTGACACAATCACTAAAGATAAAATGGGTGCATAAGCAAATGTGGTGAAGAAAGCTGATGGTGCTTGGATATAAAAATATATAGTGTTTGGGGTCTTAAAGGCATGAAGAAAACAAGCAGCCATCTAGATAAGAAGTAACAAAGCCCACATGGAAGAAGCACACCAGCCTGTGTGATCATAAGGTGTCAATGGGATCAGGCATCAGGCATCAAAGACCCAGAACAACAACAAAAATCACATCAATGTGAATGAGGGGGAGTGCAGAGTGGAGAGCCAAAGTCCTCTGTTGATAATTGGACATCCCCTTACAGAAGGGTCGCAGGGAAGAGACAAGCCAGTCAGGGTGCAGTATAGCACCAATGAAACATACAACTTTCCTCTAGTTCTTTAATGCTTCCTCCCCACCACTATCGTGACCCCAATTCTTTCTTACAAATCTGGCTAGACCAGAGCATGTACACGGGTACAGAAACACAGGGAATCCAGGACAGATAAACCCTCAGGAGCAACAATGAGAGTAGCAATACCAGGAGGGGAAGGGGAAGGGGAAGGTGGGGGCAGAAAGGAGGAACCGATCACAATGACCTGCATATAACCCCCTTCCAAGGGGATGAACAACAGAAAAATGGGTGAAGGGAGACATTGGGCAGTGTAAGATATTAAAAAATAATAATTTATAAATTATCAAGGGTTCATGAGTGTGGGGGGTGGGAGGGAAAAAATGAGGAGCTAATACCAAGGGCACAAGCAGAAAGCAAATATTTTGAAAATGGTGATGGCAACAAATGTACAAATGTGCTTGACACAATGGATGGATGGATGGATGGATTGTGGCGAGGTCTGAGGGGCCGGCCCCAATCCCAACTACGTGGACACCTGCCCCTCCCCCCAGAAGAATTTGTTTTAGAGGACAGCACAACGGCTGCAGCTCAGGGAGAGGGACATGTCTGATCAGAGCACACAGGAGCAAATGAAGGGGGAGGAAGAGAAAGTGGAGTACATTCTGGCCCACCAAACCTTGAGGACAATAGTCCCACTCCAAGCAGCCAATCCACAGAGAAGACCACATAGTAGCCCCACTATGAGACATGACATCCCTCACTGACCCATAGCCCTACAGAGACAACACTGGAGACACAGTGTGGGAATTGTGCCTGATCTGACCCCACCATACCAAGGCAAAACACTAAGGGCATGCAACAGAACAGCAAGGGGAGCAGAGAAAGGAAGTCCCGAGGGAGTACCAAAAATAGACTTTGGGGCCAGGGCATGGCACCCCATCAGACTCAACCAGAAAATACTCCTAAAGGCCAACAAACCGACCTTGAACTAATTATAGGCATTTCTTTGTTGTTGTTGTTGTTGTTGTTGTTGTTCTTTTTTGTTTTCTTTTGTTGTTTTGTTTTGCTCTTTCTTGTTATTGTGCATGTTATTATCTCTGCAGGTCTGTCTAAATAGGATAGTCTGGATGAACAATCTGGAGGAGAAAACAATGGGACCAATGATTCTGGGGGGACATGGGAGAGGGAGAGGTGGGGGGAAAGGAAGTGGTGTTAACAAACCCAGAGACAAGGGAACAACAACTGATCCAAATCGGTGGTGAGGAGGGTGTAGGAGGCCTGGTAGGACTTGATTAAGGGTAATGTAACTGAGAGGAATTATTGAAACCCAAATGAAGGCTGAGCAAGATAGTGGGACAAGAGGAAAGTAAAAGGAAATACAAAATGGACATTTACAGAGGTCTAAATAAAGGCATGTAAATATATTTACATATGAGGATGAGGAAATAAAACTATGTGCATATATTTATAAGTTTAGTATTAAAGTAGCAGATGGACATTGGGCCTTCAATCAAGTACTCCTTCAATGCAAGAACTCTTTGTTCTATTAAACTGGCATTCCAAGATGATCACCTTCCCAACACAATCTCTGAAGACAAAGCAGGTGCATAAGCCAATGTGGTGAAGAAAGCTGATGGTGCCCAGCTGTCAAAAGATACAGCATCTGG